TAAGCAGGCTCAGATGCTTGCAGTGTCCTTTAAAAGAATTGCAGTGCTAGAGATTTATGGAGTAGCTGCACGATCCTTGTTGCATAAATTGCAAACTGGCAACATCAGTAGAAAATCCCAGGTATGGTGTGTGTATCAGTACTCAAATTAGTTTCTTAGTACCTTCTGTTGTAGTTTCTGTGACTTGTAGGACCCAAAGTACTTGCTGGTAAGCATTAGTTGTAACACCGTGGGCAGGAGAAAAAAAAGTCCCACATCTTTTTTGCTTTCGAGTAACTTCCTTTTTCATAGCAGGGAGATTTGCCAGGTGTATTACATCTGTACTGTGCTGGCTGTAAGGCACTTGGAATTGCCATTCTCACTGTGCCCTGAGAAAAGGACATATATATGTAATAGATGCTACTGAAAAACACAACTAACTCTACTGAAGAAGCTCTTTGGATTTAAAGGGATGGATGCACATGAACAACTAATTTTAAGTAATTTCTTTTTGCAATTCATATTCTGGGTTGTTGTGCAAAAAGGATAAGTCCTGTGTACAAAAAAATAGTCATTCCTGCTTGGGGAAATCTTCAAAATATTAAATTTAGGTAGTATAACTGATCAATATAGATCCCTTAATAATTGGTTAATTGTGCTGATGCATCTGGTTGTCAAAATCAATTATTCTTATCTTTCAATAAAGCTCTGCTGTGAATGTTCACTGTTGAAGTGAACATTCAAATTGATGATTGACTTTGTTAACTACAGGGATTTATATCATGTTTATTGGTATATCATTATGTGGACAAATTCATTGATCCTAAGGTTTCTCTCCACAATCCTTTACAAACTTTTGCCACAAAAACTGATCAATAAAATAAATCTTGGATCACTTGCAACACAAAGTTATTGATACTGATGTATATAAAAGAATGGAAGACTAACATGAAATGCATCTTCTCTGTGCTGCAGACACCAAGTTGCAGTTTCCCTTACTTGTCTTTAACGTTCATTTTCACTCTTTTTTTTTTTTTTTTTTTTTTTTTTTTTTTTTT